GGACGCATGTCTACCACATCCGCTTGCCAGAGATCATCGTATCCGCGTACAATAACGCGTCTACGGGGAAAATTTCTTCTCGCCGGAGCATGCAATTCTTCTACGAGACGTTGTTTTTCGATTGTAACATGATTCCTCGCCATAGCTGTCTTACTATATGTCTACTGAGTCAGTCGTTTTATTATGATTTGATAGATATTGAAGTGTACGCTGAATTTGTTTTATAGAGTCGCGCAACGCTTGCACGTCCTGTTGCAATGCGATAATTTTTCTCTCACGTGTCTCCAGCAATTCATTCACATTCGTGACACACATATCTACGTATCGTTTGTTGGCGGCGTCAGTGTCAATATCGGGTTGCGCTACATGCAGTATCTTGCGCGACCTTGCATCGTACCCGGAACCGACAAAGAAGAGAGCGTTATTACGCTCGTAATTTCGCAGTATTGCCTCTCTCTCATAATAATAATACATNGACGCTCCGTGTGTTCCGAGCAATATTCCGAATTTGTTGATCGGCATGACGGCGCGCACACGATTGACTCTAACGTCGGCGCGCTATTTAATTTATAATGAGACCCGCTTCGCGCAGTTCTTCGATAATCGACAGAATTTCGTTATCGTGAGCATTATTGCCAGCCTGACGGGATGCGTCTAGCAATCGCAGACGGTCGACGAGTTCATTGGGATCGTCCCAGTGCGCGTACTCGATTTTTCGATCGTTTAGCGTCATATTACGCGGTATACCCCTCCCCTGCTTAGTACGCACACTGGATATTAAAGGCGCAATTATGTATCTATATTTATATCTTTTGTTACCCAGTATTGCGCCGAGCTGGTTATGATGTTTTCTATGAGCATTTGTCATTTCCAATATTGTTTTGTGTATCGTTGTTTATCTTCTTCAGTATATAACTCACTCCTAGGACATTTCATGAAAATCAGTTCGTACAATCCTTGTGTTGCTTTGAATCGTATACCATCTACGATTATATTCTCTTGTTCATCCACGTCAAAATGTTTATCACCAAGCATCATTCCATCGTTGTCGAAATACACACCATATACGTAGTTTATGTCGTTCTCTTTCTTACCACTCAGAATAGCTTTCATATATTGTTGCGCCAACGATCCAAAGTGACTTTTAAACGTTTCAAAACCCTCCAATGTTTGCATTTGACGTTGAATAGTCGACTCAAACGATTTGTTGGCAGTAGCATCAGTGGCGACGATAGTATCAACCGATGGAGTATCCCATGTCAATTGTCGTTTGGTTCGTTCTTTCGTTGGAGTAGAAGTCACCATTGCAGTGTTATATCGTGCGCGTTTTGAATTGTGCAGAGTAGGGGACAATATTTCGTTCGATAACGTCTGCATTCGTTTCCGCTTCATTCGGGTCTCGTCTTTGAGAAACGATGTATTTGGCAAATTAGTTTCAGTATTTTCAGCAATCTGTTTTAAAGGTTCAATAATAGGTTTAAATTGTCTCTCTAATGCAATTTCCTCTTCTAGTTTACCGGTTTTCAAAGCGCGATATTTTTGACGAATGGATTGACTCGTTTTTGCAATCTCCTTTGCTACTTTCTCGCGGTTTATAATTTCACTGCTTTCATCAGCCATGTTGCTCGCATCGGTAGGAGATAATACTTGATTGATGTCTCAACACCAATTAACCACTCGACGGTATTGCGAATTCGTTAAATCCTTTTCTATAGCGACCTTTGTCCAAAAGACTATCCTTATCAATCACTAAAAATCCATATTTATGTTGCCACCATTTGCGACATAATGTATAAAAATCCTCATATGACATATCTGTGTTTACGTGATCGTTGTACACATGTTTGAGATTGGTACCATCTTGTTTAAAAAGAATTATCAAATTTGCATTGTCACGTATAAGATGCTTTGGTATCCTCGCGTACGTCTGACAGAGATAGAAACAGTCGACACTCGAGTGACGACCCATTGCAAAATATTCTCGTATCGTATCTTGCTTGTCACATGCCACGTCATCAAAGATAAAAATGGAATTTGGAAGTGCTTCATTCGGCGGAATCACATCGCTATT